CTCCCCTCCCCTCCCCTCCCCTCCCCACATACACAGCCCCTGCACATGCTCAGTGTGCCCATGAATTGGGTTGGTTGGGGGAGGGCACTAACTGGCACCCCCACTTAAAGGGCCAGTGCCACACTTGCCTGTTCCCAATAGGGGCAATGGGACCTGGCTACCTTTCCCCCCAATACCGTTACTTCCCTTTGGACCCCCTTCCCCACTCCCTGACAGCTTCCTCCTGCTCCACCTCACCAACCTCCGCCCACCCCTCTCCCTCATTCCCTGACCCTATCGCAGGCAGGGTCTGTCCACTGGACACAGGAGTTTCCACCTGGGGTCGGGGAGTTCCTGCCGGGGAAGAAAAAGGGATCCTAAGCCAGGCTGGGCCGGGGTGGTGGGAGGTTGGTGGGAGGCTTCAATAGTCACTCCCGTGAAACATCTGTTCTCTGCGCTTCCCTCCCCGACCCAGTTGACCAAGAGGGTCCCAGAAAGCACAGGGCGTGAGGGCAGCTCTGGAAAGGCCCAGGGAGGCTGTGTCCAAGCCCAACTTCCCCAGTTAGGGCGTGTGATGTGGGGGTAGGGGTGTCTTGTAAACTGGAGCTTCTACCATTGCAGTGGGCGGAGTGGAGGCCTAGGCTTCAAGACCAAGCAGCAGGTGTGGGAACAACTGGAAGCAGCGAAGGGGGCGGGGCACCAAGGGACCCAGGCCTGGCTCCCACCCACAGCTGAGCCGGCTCTCCAGTGCTAAGCCCCAGCTCTGGCCCCAGGACGATCTCCTCCCTGCACACCCCTTACCCAGGAATCAGGGAGCCAGACGGGGGGAGGGGCGGACAGGGACCCTCTTCACCGACCCCTCCCATTTGGGTTCAGGCCCTCCCACACTCCCGGCTCGCATCCTCTCCTTTGTTCTCTTCTTGCCCCACCCGCCCTCCAGCGGGGTGAGGCGGGGGTGCGGGAATTAACCCACCGAGGTGCTGCCCTATTTGCGCCCTTCAGCCTTTTATGTGAAGGGGGATGTTGGGGGAGCGGCTGGCAGCTTTCCTTCCTCCAGGCTCCGCAGCTTCTGGGCCAAGAAGGGCCAGACTCTTCACCTGCCCCTCCCTGGCACGACCAGCCCACAATGCGCCCCCAGCACCCGCACCCACACCCCTCCCCCGACACTCCAGCAGCCCTCTGGAATCTTCTCTCACCTCCTAGACACACATACACACACACAGAGGCACCTCCGGGTAAACAACCTTTGTCCACCTTTGTCCCGGGCCTCCTCTCTCCCTCAGGCTCCATGCTGAGGAATGCAGCTGGGAGGCTGCCAGCAAATGCCAAGGGGCCTCTGGGTCCCAGGTTAGCACCCCACAGCACTCCACAGGGGCAGGCAGGCCTCCAGAGGCTCTCCTGGAATCCGAAAAGCCACTTCCTTGCTAAGCCTCCGGTTTCCCATCTGCAAAGTGGGGATGATCATTCCTGCTGCCCTTCCTGACTGAGCCGTCTGAGGACCCAGGGTTCTAGGGGCAGGTCTCCCAGGATGGGATTTTGCTTTCTCTTGAAACCCATGCGTTCCTAGAATCTGTTCTGTGTTTCATTGTAGGAGGCTCTGGCCAGGCCTGGGTGTGGCAGGATAGAAATGAAAGTTGTCCTGGCAACACACAAGATTTCATCAACATTTCCATCCCCAGAAGCTCCTGGGCTGAGCCTCATCTTGCCCAATGTGGCCTGTCAAGATGAGGGCCTGGAAGAGAAGCCAGGCTGGGCAGCCAGGCCTCTGCCCCTCCCCTTGCCTGGTGGCACAGCCAGCACTGGCTCACTGGTGAGTTGACTAATTTCCTCCACCACCACTAGTTATCCATGTTCATTGCTGCCTGACACCCAACACTAGCCTGCAAGGGCACCAGGAAGGGATGGAAGAGACAGGGTGCCTGGGGAAGGGTGGGTCTGAGTGTGAGGGGTGAGTGAGCTTGTCTCAGAGCCTGACGCTGGCTGGTGGTATCTGCCTTACCCAGGCTGACCCAGCTGTCTCTGATGCACAGACAGGCAAGGGCCTCACACACTTCAGAGGGAATTCACACCCACATGATGAGGCTGAGAGGAGCAGGACGCACAGGCGCACAGCAGGCACCAGGAGAGCCAGGCTGCTGTGCTCTGCGGGGGATCCATGTGCTGTCCCCCTCTGTCTCTTGACTTTATTTTCCACCAGGAGAGCACCTCCCTTAGTACCCTTGGGAGGTAAAGGGACAAACACAAACATATGATGACTAACCTCAGGCCCAACCCCCTGCTGAGAGGGGTCGGGGTTGGGGGCTGTCAAGAACAAGGAGGCACAAGGCACCCAGAACCCGTCTAGTCCAGCCTTTAAACTGTGGGGAGAATACAGGGAGCTCAGCAGCAAACTCTGAAGGAACCCCTGGGTCTTCTCCAAAAACCCCCGTTCTCTCCTCTAGGGAAAGCTCACAACTCCTCACAGCGATCTGGTATTTTGAGCTTCAGTTTCTGGCCGAAACTGGGGGCTCCTGACGGAGTTCCCTCCCACCTAGAAAACCTTTCCTGCAGTCTGATTGCTCCAACACCCACAGAGCAGGATTCAGGTATCCTGGAGAACTTGGGAGGTCCCCATCCAGAGGTCCGCTGTCCTGCCAGGCTTGGGGCAGTGGGGACTGGGACCCCACTCAGACTTCTCTGGGGCAAAAATGTTTTGGTTCTCACAACAGCCCTAGTGAAATCAATCCTAGATACTCCCATTTGGTCCCACTAAGACCATTTAATTTCTCTGTAAAGAGTAAGACGACACGAAAGAGCCAACTGTGGAAACGGTGAGGTGGGAGTCTGAACCAATTTAGCCGTTCTCAGGGGGCAAAGGGTGTTGACGGTGGTTTTCATCTGCCACCTGCCTCCTTGAGACCCAGCTGGCCTGAGTGTGCACAAAATGGGACCTTCTCCTTGGGTCCACCAGGCTGGGAGGCACCCCTAGGTACCCGGCTCCTCATCACAGCAGCAGCCCTCTCGGTTCCACATCTGGTTCTCCTGCCGAAGCCGCTGGTTCTCAGTCCGGAGCCTCTCGACCTCGGCAGCCAGCTCCTCCACCTGGCGGCAGGACTGCTGGCCAGTACACGCCTGCAGCTGCTGCAGCCTCCTAGTCTCCTCCTCTGCCTGCGACAGCCGCTTCTCCAGCTCCAGGTAGTCTCGCACCAGCTCCTGCTTGCTGCGGCCCTGCAGGCTCTCGGTGTGGAAGCGCTCGTAAGTCTCAGAGAAGTCCTTCCGCTGGAACTCACCGTGCGCTTGGCCCCGCCCATCACTGTCCCCGGCCTCACTCTCCCCACTGGAACCTGGGTGGGAGATCCCATGGGGCACATCCAAGTTGGGCTCCTCCGGGTCTCGGTCATTCATCAGGAACTGGGTGGTGTTGTAGGGGGCCACGGGCTGGCCTTTGGCGAACATCTCCTCGCGGACCCGGGAGGCCCTCTGGCTCTGCCTCTCATCCCGCTGTTGTTTCTCAGCCCAGCTCAGCTCCAGGTAGGGTCGCCAGTGCCGTTTGCGCTTGGACGGCCGCCGACGGTGTTTCTTCCGGGCCAGCACAGCCTCCGCTGAGCAGCCCCCTGGGTTCTGGGTCCGGGGACTCCTACTGTACCAGCCCAGGCCACCGACAGCCCCAGCAAGATCTTCATCCTCTGAGTGGCTCTCCATCCGGGGTGTCAGGGGCAGGGAACCACCAGAGTCATGAGGCCCAGGGGGTGTTTGGGGGCTCCCCGGGGCACCAGAGGTCTAAAGAGGGGGAGGAGGAAGAAGGATGGATCAGACAGCCTGTCCTTGGAGGTGGAACCCTTCCCTCTCTACCCAGTTTGAAGCCAACCTTCCCACACTCAGCTAACTTGGTCACTCTTAGCCCCTCACCCTTTTGCAACCATTTGTTTACAAAGTGACCTGTCTATTGTCTGTCCCCCAGCCTTCCCCAAGTAAACTCATGGTGACAGCAGGAATTTTGCCTGTGTGTTTCACTCTGTAATTTCAATGCCTAGAATAATACCTGGCACTGAGTAGGAGTTCCATAAATACTGTCCAAATGAGTAAAGTAGGAGAAGAAGAAAACTGGGATAGAAGGCAGATCTTGATACATTTGCTTGATCAGAAGCCCAAATGCCACTGGCTCTTCCCTCTTCCCAGAAAGCCTGACTTTCAAACACAGCTGGCTTCATGGGCAGGTGACCTGTTAAGTTCCACAGAGGCCTCACACCTGGCTTCATGCTGTCCTTGTCTTAAACATATTATTTTTAAAAACCCTTATTTTACTTCATTTTTTGAGACGGAGTCTCCCTGTCACCCAGGCTGGAGTGCAGTGGCGCAATTTCAGCTCACTGCAACCTCTTCCTCCGGAATTCTCCAGCCTCAGCCTCCCGTGTAGCTGGGATCACAGGCATGTGCTACCACGCCCGGCTAATTTTTTGTATTTTTAGTAGAGACAGGGTTTCACCATGTTGGCCAGCCTAGTCTCGAACTCCTGACCTCAGGTGATCCACCCGCCTTGGCCTCCCAAAGTGCTGAGATTACAGGAGTGAGCCACTGCGCACGGCCTAAAATAAGTTTTTTTTTTTTTTTTTTTTTGAGATGGAGTCTCTCGCTCTGTCGCCCAGGCTGGAGTGCAGGGGCCGGATCTCAGCTCACTGCAAGCTCTGCTTCCCGGGTTTACGCCATTCTCCTGCCTCAGCCTCCTGAGTAGCTGGGACTACAGGC